CAGTGCCGATTGGCAGATAGTTTAAGTTATGCCTTAGCCACCAAAGGATGGCAACTTTCGCTGATGGTGGAGATAAGGTGTTAGAAGTAAGACACATCTGGTCGTTTGTGATAAGGAGCTTTACCATGCAAAAATTAATTAAAGCACTTGTTTTATCGCTGCTAAGAGATAACGAAGATGCAGGTGTTTCGAAGAATTACTCGTTTCATATTGAGAAGTGGGTACGTTTGGCGCGACGGCGATTTATTTGAAATTTTCTTAGAGAAGGAATTCATTGTATGATGGAAGTGGTGCTTTCTTAATTACTGGAGACAACAAGCTTCTGCTGTTTCGCGACGGTTAAAGACCGTGTAAATTTGTTTACATTAAATTATGGGCGGAAGTGAGAAGTTTAACACGTGTTGTCCGTTTGCGTTGAAAAGGCAAGCAGTAGTAATGCACAGCGAGGTTTTTTAGACCATCGGCTAAGGGTTTTTGAGCAAAAAAGGAGAAAGTTTTGGGACTATTGAAGCGATTAGCTCTCAAACGAAATATTTTGGCCCTTCTATTTATTTGAAAAGTACGCTTGTGTTAGTTCCCATCTAGCACTCAATTCTTTTGACTTACTTAAATGTTTCACCCTGTATATTAGAGGAAATCCAAGACTTTTAGAAACTGTAAACGTTTCCCATGTTTTTAATTAATTACATGGTGAAGGTGTGGAATTCTTAACTTTCATTTTCTACTTTTCCAAAACAAAACTCTCAAAAGGGCAAATGTAGGAGCATCATGTGAAACGATTCTCCCTTTTGCGGGCTCTGCTGCATAGTCATTTCCCTAAGAGGCAGAAAAAGGAGAAAATATCCTAACTGGGGGATCCTAGGATCGCTTTTTTATGACTTTTTTTGCTCAGTTAGGTTGCCACACGATGAGGAAGAGATGCACACAGGTGCCCTGAATGGGTCGCCCTCAAAGATTTTCATTTTGCTGATGGAGATACATGGGATGACTGTTGGTCTTCGTGACGCTTAAGCATGGTGTTAAAATTTCTAATTAGCCAATTTCACACAACATACCCTTGGCAATGGTTTTCCATTGGAAGGACAAGGACTTGGTCGCTATGAAATTTATCTGCGTTACGGGTCAAAAGTTATCAGGTCATCCTAAATGTGTATCGTTTGGTACAAAGTGTGTAGTGTGATTTCGATTAAGTTCTAAATGTGTAGTTTTTTTCCTCATAACTTGGAGATGAATCATCTCGGATATTGCTTTCGATGATAATTTATTTTAAACCGATATTGGACAAAGGTTATGTTGCTAAACACTTCGGTTTGTTTTCATGCTGATATTTGCAAATAAACGATTCTGTATTGCTTTAGTTGTATAATCTTTATGGCGCAGTATAGTACAACGATACGTTCAAACATAGCGGCGGAGTGGAGGACACTACAAATAATTAAGTGCAAATAATTTACCTTTCGTCATTGTGGAACTTTTCCTTACATTTGAGCAATTGTTGTGGGACACCTCATCAAGATGAAGTAATTGCATGGTTTTGGCAATGGAAAAGTCTTGTTGGACGATATCTTTAATTCGGTGGAATAGAAAGTATTCATCAACTATCCATTTGATTAGTTTTTTTGTAATGCGCTAGTTAAATTGTGCGTGGTTGGTAGAAGTTTGACCAAAGTACAAACACTTCCTTTGAACTTCACTCAGACTTCTCAAGGGCAGACGGGTTAATTGGTTTCGACAGATTCTAGTGCGGTCTTACGTTTAACGATCAGATTTGCCTTTTTTATCACCTTACCTATACGGGAGTTCCACGTTGACCCGTGATAAAAGTTCACTCCCAGGAAATCTCGTTTTCTTGGAACTTGAAACATCCGGCATCTGCTATAAAGAAAATTCCGAATATTGACTTAAAGTTTTCGAAATTCGGTGGCCTCGATCAATAATAAATCTTGGGAACAAATAGAAAAATCTGACATGAAAATTCTATCTGGGACGCACTACGGGTTCGAATAAACACACAATTAATTGATTGACAATGGTAAAAATTTATTCCGAAACATATGAAAGAATTAAAACCAAATCCCTGTAAGAGTGAAAGGCTTATAAAGCCTGTTGGACATAAACATATTATTTAAAAATTAAAAATTGTAAATTACTCCAGTTTTAAAAATCCAAATAATCTCACACACAAATTGCTGATAGCTTCTGAACTTCACTTTACTTTATATCACAGAACTAGATCACAAACAAAACTGGTTTGATGAATAAGATGAGAAATGTTCTGTGGCTGCTCGGAGGGTAGAAATTATTAACTTTTAATAAGAAGGGGACCTCGCTATACTAAAACTGCGTGCTTTTTCAACTCGTCGAAACATTTTCCGTAATCGGACAACACGCGTGGGTTCTTCTTCTCACACAACTTTGGTTAACTTGCTACATGCACAAATTTATTATAAAAATGGCGAACTGTGTCATTAATTAAACAAATAGGGCCGACTGCCCGAAAATTAGCGTAAGAAGATGTATAGAGTGACCAACTAAGAATGCGAGGTACTGTACCTGAGAACCTATCCATCGTAGAGGCTTGCGTTAAAAAAAGTTAAAACTAAAACGGCCACGAGAAAAACCTGGAAAATATTTTTAAGTTTTTGAAATGGCGGTTAGGGGACGTAACTGCAATCTGGAATCTAAAAAAGTGATGTTTCTGTGAATTCCGCTATATTAACCTAACAAAAAAAGTCCGGTCTATGAAGTCGACGATAATCTGAAACTTTTTTGTTTGACAATTTTTGCTGTATCTCTAAAAATTATGTGGTGGGGGGTATTCAAAGGTTTCCGTAAAGAACACCCTGCATCTTCGAAACGGCTGAGCCGATTTTAACAAACTCGGGTTAGTTCAAAAGAGCTATTCTTCAGCTACAAATATTATAATGTTTGAAGTGTTGTTAGTTTCACATATCACCGCTTGAGGGCTTTTTTTGACATTCCGACAGAAATGGTTAATTTTCTCAAAAAAATTAAATGTATTGTATTGGTTCTATTTTTTTTTCATGAAAAAGTAGCTAAATGATGCCTAAACAAGCTCGGGAAAACCGCATCTGAAATCTTGAAATCTTTAACTGTTTCGAAAGAGTACGACCACAAACACCGTGACAAGAGATTTTTATGTATTAGACTATACCGTTTCCCGTATTTTTTTTGAATTTGGGAGGCAGTAATGCTATTGCTTCTTCGGCGACTTTTTAAATAATCACAACTGCATATAGTTATTTTGTACAAGTATCTTAAAATTAAACTGGCATTTATTATTATACCGCAACAATCGTAATATTGCAAAGGTGTTAACGGGAGCCCTTTAATGGGGTTGATTTTCAATCCTTGTTCCTGGTCAAGGGTGGCGTTTCGGCAGCCACCAGTAGTTAGTCAGAGAAACGGCGGAAGCTCTAAAACAGAAAAACAGCAATTTCCTTAAGCGGGGACAGTAAATAATTAATGAATTAACCTCGGAATTAACTAAAGGTACGGGAAAGAAAACAAAGGAAAACAAAAGACCAAACGCAACATTAAACGGCGCGGTTAAATTCAAATGCAAAGAGTATACGGTTAAAATACGAAAATTGATACGGCAAAAATCTAAATACGGTCTGGATGCAAAATAAATTTACGGAAAAGAGCAAAGATACGGTACTTACAGACGCAGGCCCCTTCTATAACACGCTGTTACCTTGTATAGAACTCCCAAAAAAATGCGGAAAGGGAACAGAGGATTTTCCAGCCGGCAGGAGTATTCGGGTGAAAACGTTTAAAAATTATTTATTTATTTGATTTATTTTACCTTCTTAACTGGCCGGGCTTAAATTCTGTAATTCAGTTAACACCGATCGCGTCCCGGAATTTTGGGATCAAGCGACAGGCTACTTTATCAGGTTTATCTACGTGTAAGCGAGCGACCTTGCTCTACGGGAACGGCTACAAACGGCAAATTAGTAACAGTCTCTTGATTTCCTCTAAAACAATGCTGCACATTTAAAGCCATTACTTTTACCTTCTAGAAACGAGGTCCGGAAGCTACAGTTGTGTCTAATAAAGCACCCGTTCGATTCGATCCATGTACCGAGTGTTCATTAAAATTGGTATAATTCCTTGTACGAAAACGGATGCGTTGTTGCAATATCATGCGGATTTTTGTGTGAAGCGCTGAATTGGCAATAGTAATTGATTGATGGTTTTTGAGCGCACATGATTCGTGGGGCTGAACAAATCCGACTCGTTCTGATAAAAAAATGGCTGATTTAACGCTTGGTATGGTATCCAAAGTTATAACAAATTTGCTACGAATCTACGCACTTTAAATTTGTGGCCAGTGGCATGGTCAAGAGGAGACAGGCATTTTTTCCACACAACAATTACTATAAGAGAGGGGATGATAATTTTCCATTCGTTTCTTATATCGGGTACAATGGAATTTAATTAATTAATTCTATGGGAGTTTGCAGAATTTTGACTTTCTTACTAATTGCAAGCTAATTATTGCACACGAGATATCGTATCTGAACGAATGACGTAAGATGCTGCATTACGCTCACAGCGCATGCGTAAGTCTGTTTCAGTGGCAAAATTGGCGGTAATTTAAAACGATTCTTTACGGCTGACATGCTATTTAGTTACAGATCGTAAAAAAAATTGTCTACGCGTGTAAATAGAGTTCCCTTTTTTTTAAATTACTTCCAGTTTTATATCCTACGCTTACCTGTAACAGAAAATTGGTAATCATGTATTACGACACAATCGTAAAATATTAATTACACTATAATATTTTTAATGCCGTGCAATTAGTTCAAGTTTACAATTTGCGGGTGTGTGTTTCGCAACACGCAATCCTGAGATATATACGCGTGTTTTAAATTTAGAGCGCGCTATTGTAGTCAATTGCAAAAGGTCGTCCACCCAAACCAAACTGCTTGATGTTTCGAAAACTAAACTATTGTCTTTTTTTGTTGTTGCAGGGAATAGCAATCTAGTCTTCGAGTCCAGTTCCTTTACGTTAACTGAGCAAGGTAAGAACAAAACTATCGATTATGACGGATTTATAGAAATTTTAAATTTTTCCAAAACGAAAGCCGCACAAAACTATGGTCTTTGTGACAGGTCGATACGATTGAACATTTTGATTTTATCGGAAACGGAAGGTGCACAAAACTCGGGCATTGGCACAAAATAGGCACATTATATTTATGTTTCAAGTCGATTCGATTGTAAGGGGTGCTACGTTAAGTTGGCACCCCCTTTAGAAGTGTTGAATTACCCCGAATTCCGAAAGGAAAGGCGCACAAATTGGCACAAAGCGAGCACAAAACCTAGCACAAAACTATGGCTAGTGTCATGTGTATACAAGAATGATGGTATTCCAGTATTAAGTTGGATCCCCAACTGAAAATTTTGATTTTCTCGTAAATGAGAAGCGCACACAATTTGGAGATTGGCGCACAAAATGAGCACAATATTTTGGCGAGGTAACAAATTGGGGTGCTGATTTAGGGGCGCTAACAACCCAGCGCTTCATCTTCGAAATCAATCTTTTTCAAATTTGTGATATGTATACATACTAACATACTGTACTATAATATCCATTTTGTCTAGTGTAATACAACGAAGTTGAGATAACGCTTATGTGCTCGATTTTCCGTCGTCTGTCTGTCTGTTTCATCGAGATCTCGCCCCCTGGGCCACCTAGAGACTTCGGGTTTTCGCTAATTGATAGTTGTTATGGTCTATATTTGCCCGTTACTCATCATTTACAGTTGTGGTACGCGGCAACACTCCCGAGTGGGTTTTGAAACATTTTTTTGTATCTTTTATTATTGCAGAAACTTTGATATTTTTTGTCATAGTTTTTTATTGCGCATTCAAAAATAGAAAAATATACAGGAGTAGGTACAATAATTGACATAAATTATAGTCAATCATTTTTGTTATACACTATAGTAGCAAATTGCAAAAGAGTGTATTGCAGATAACAGAGATAATTATCAGTCCCGGGACTTTTGGCGTATCCCGTATAGTGCTAGAATACAATAGTTCTTAGAGAAAGTATAGGACGATTTACACGGACGGACATTTGCAATTGTATTTTGTGTTTTCAGGAAATGTATCCCCCCCCCCCATTTTCTAAAGTTTAACTTGGCACCACTAAAGGCATGCGTATGCAAAATCTGAGACCAATTGGTTGTCGTATGTAAAAGTTATGCACGTTTTACTTTCAAAAACAGCATCTCAGGAAATAATTCGGGGGGGGGGGGGGGCTTTTAGACAGCGAAATTTTATGGCCGTCTGGCACACCTTCAAGGTATAGGCTACCTACTGCAAAACATTCCAGGACTTTAGGACCACTTTCCTAGAAGTAGTTCAAAACAGTAGAAGTGGGTCCGGACGGACGAACGGACGGACGGACAAAACGCAAACAATAGCACATTTTTTTTAATTCTTATAAAATGCGTTAAAAATCTGGAAACTATAACACTCCGTAGGTCGGTAACGAAGCGTTTGTAGGCCTGAACATTTAGTAATAAAATAAGTCAAAGAATGAGCCCCTTTCGTATGTACATTTGTTTATTTATTTATTTATTATTATTTATTTATTTACATCAGATTTAGGAGCACCCTGTATATTATTGTAGAATGTTTGCTGTGTTTCACTTTCAAACTAACATACAAGCTGATTCAAATTCGAGGGCCACCATGGGGATCTCGGGAACTGTAGGAGATAGGTAGGTAGTTTAAATTTGGCAAAGTTGCGTATTTTGATGTTTAAAAAAATGCAGTTTCGCATCTAAAAAAATTCAGACTACTTTCGGAGATATCAGGAAAAAAACGAAATTTTGGAAATCGTTTTTATTTTTTACTGAAGTTATTTAATCCCGAGATCCCCATGGTGGCCTTCCCGATAGACATAGTAAAAATCATATGTGCGCATGCGCAGCAATGCCAACCTTCTCATTTATGGAGATATTGCTTTGAAATTTGAAGTAAAAATGCTTCTAGTAAAAGCAAACATCAAGTGTGCGCATGCGCAGACTGCGCAATAATAACTTTCTTATTTATAGATAGATAGCCGGCCCGTGTCGCGCAGTGGAGGTGAAGCTGGAATGCGGCACCAAGGGTTCCTGGTTCGATTCCGGGTTCGGGAATGGATATTTTTAAGTCTGTAGGGGGTTCAGATGGTAGAGCAGTTGTGACTGGAACCCCGCCCACTTAAAATGTTAGCTTCTAGTGCAGGCATGCCAAACACGCGGGCCCATAGCAATGTGTGTAAATTAGAAAATTTAATGGTACCGTGTGTCCTATTTTGGTTGAGACTGCCGTGTTTTTAAAGGTAGAGACTTGCGGTTTTCGCGACCCTCGGCCATTTTTTGGTGAAACGTATAATACTCCAAACAGAACAAATCTAGCTAAGTTTTTTTTTCTAAGATACAGGGTGAAAACGAAAAGTTTGACTTTTTGGAATGTTATCATACCTTACTACCGATATAAGATAGAAAAAAAGATAAAAACTGGCTATTTTAGATATTGTTATATAGAATTCACCGGCGTACTAAAAAAAAACTTTTGGATTGCCGTTTCTAAGATTTGATTCAAAGTTGGTATTTTTTAAAACGCTCTGCATATCTTAACGTCAATTGCTTTTTATACCTTTTCCTGATTACATTGCTGTATCACAACCTATATTTTTTTAATCTTATCGATGAAAATGAATAAAAACCTTATTTTTTACTTTTTTTAAATAGTAGGCCATGGAGATTTTGTTCTGTTTATTGTATTCATGGTAACTAAGGCAGCCGATGTCAATGAATAAAAATGGCGGGCGGTAGAAACATGTCATTTTGAAAAATATTTAATTTAAAAAATATAGGATGATTCTTCAATGTAATCACGAAAAAGAAATGCAATAAATTGACGCCAAAATTGAGGGCCATGAATTATTGTATGGACTGTTTCTAGTATTAAAATGGTACAACGCGAAATACAGATCATACACTTTCAGGTATTACTTCCACTTTTGAACGATACCCCTAAGTTCCAGTGTTATACACTGTGTACAAGATAAGGATCTCTGAAACCATAGAAAATAAGACAATGGTCAAATTAGAGGAAAGATGCGCAATTAAGGAACAGAAAAACACCGTTGAGAGATTTTTAATACAACGTTTCGGGTCGGAGAAATCATTATCAACTTTATTTTTGTATATCGTAAAAAGTAGGTAACATACTGTATTGAGTAGCATTTTTTTTATTAGAGATCGTTCCAAAACTAAAAGATAATGGCGCAGAAACCAGTTTTGAAACAAATGCAAATATATCTATAACTCTCGCCAGGAAAGATTGCCGGTCACAGCACACCTTGTGTGGATTTACGATCTATGTTTTTCTAAAGATGCGAGCGACTTCAGGAATAGGATCGTGCCAATGTTGAACGAAAAGTCTTTTTGACACGATACTATCCCGGAAGTCGCTCACATCTTTAGAAAAACATAGATTGTAGACCGGGATCAAGTGTTCTATGACCGGCAATTTTTCCTGGCGAGAGGTTTAATTCCAAAATGGTGGCATATGTTAGTTTGAAGTGTTTCATAAGTGTTACACACTAAAAAAACAAAAGTTGGAAACTGCTGTTTTTCAACAGCATAGTGCCCCCCCCCCCACACACACAACGTGCGAGAATACCTGCCGGAGAAATTTTCCATTTTCCAGGAAGTACTAGAAAAAGTCCATAAAACCCTCGAATTCTTTACAAAGAAATTGATCCGATGAAATCACCGATCAGTTTGATAGGAAATGTAGTTATAAGAGGCCAAGGAAACGGGTAATTTTTGGCAATTTTTGGGTTGTGATTAAGAGTTTCTTGTACCTTCCTTTTGCCACCCATTCCACTAAAAACGAAATTTGTCAAATTTTACAGATATTTTTTGCCCATCTATCAAATCGAGTAAATCTTTGAATTTCGTTTACGGCGTTCGATTTTTTCGAAAGATTTGTGGATATCCTCTGCATTTTTCGCACCATTGTTGCATTACCTGAACATAGTAAGTACAATTAGCTGATAACCTTGCGACACCTGTTCCATTGAGGGTAACTCAGCGGAAATCGAATAAAACCACTAAAATGATCTTGTTTTGGTTTTTTTTTACCATTTTGATTCAAGATCTTGATTCGTCCCTTCCATTGTGAAAGACTTAAAGGGAAAAGTAAGTTAGCCCTCCCATACGTTTAAAATTAATTTTATTGAAGATTTATCAGAAAGTGTAGAACTTTAAAAGCTTGATGTGACGGATGTCCAGAGTTCTAGAATTAAAAATTTCCAACCAAATGTGCAACCCTCCCCCAATTATCATCCCAAATAGCGGTGATTGGAGCAGTAAAACCACAACAACGGCTCTGGGCTATGTTAAAGTTGCCCACTCCAAGCTTCCAAATAAAAATGAGTATTGTGAGCCCGCTAATTATTTGTGAAGCCGGGCAATAAAAAACCCAGGCCCGGTACCTTAATCAGCATCGACCGTGGATTTTAATTGTGACTTAATGCGCGTAAATAAAAAATCTCCCGTAATCTGTGAAACCAACTACTCGTGCGGATATCCAGATAAGATGTCATCCTTTTCGAGCACGTTCTTTGAGCGTGATGACTTATTTAATTAGCTAATTCAACAATTTCTTATTTACAAGCAACTTTGGTACGACATAAATTTGCATTTTATTTGCACTGCTCGACCATGTCCTCATATTTTATGTATTTACTACCAAGAATGGGAAGATTAACATTCAACGTGTCTTTTGCGGTGAATGTGGGAATTTTTGACTGACCGCGATTCCCAAGTCCAATGTGGATTGGTTATATAATTACCTGGTTAGAGTTCCATGTTTAGAAATATCGGGTGAATGATCTTTTTCCCCCAATCTGTTGCATGCTTATAGTAGATGTGATTATAAAAAGAAGTGATAACGGAGGTCGTCACCTCGGATATGAGTGTTTGACTTTGAGCGAGGTTTTCCTTTAGAGGTT